TTTTTCAGAGACACTTTGGGGAATGTACTGTTATCCAAGATAGGTCGATACCCAAAGCAGCCTGGGATTTTTAGCACAAGAGAGGAAAGTGAAGTGGAACTAGATTATGGGGGAGTTTCAAGTGAAGATAGAATAAATCCAGGTAGAAATGTGAGAAATTCTGAACCCATCTGTTTATTAAATTTCAGTAAATGGTAACAAGCATGAAAATAATTGCTTAATAGAAACACCCAATATTTTGAAACAATGTATACCCGTAAATGTATATCTGCACATTTCATCTAAGACCAAATACTTTCTGTACCTCAACATGCCAGCTATCTTTGTCTTTGTCTTGGCCAATGTATAACATGCTTTAATAGTATACATAAAAAAATCTTCATCAAATAATTTCCACTTCAAACACAGGACTTGGCACTATATAAGTAAGTAAGAAACATATGTGTAGCACACCAGCACAGAAAATGGTAGGTCTGCAAATGTGCAGCATCCTCCTGATAACTATTATCACTGTATAAGCCCAGTATTCATACATAAATATTTGAAGATCTATTTTTATTGCCTTGGAGCTCTCAACTCAGTGTGTTTAAAAGGACCAGGTCTCCGTGAGCTGTTCAATAAGGATTTGATGTTAGTTCACAATTTCTCTGTATTATTTAAACATCCACCTTTAGGGGGCTTTGTGCCCCTTTCCCCCAGAGTATACTTGCCTAATTTCTCTCAGATTCTTGGGAACTCATAAAAGTTTTATATATGTATGTCAAGATGAAAACCACTTTCAGGTAAGTAAAAGTAATGCCTGCTCTGAAAAGCTGTAGACATCAAGAGAGCTTAGCATTTCTGGGCTGTTTTAAGGCCTTGACTTTGCAGTTATGTATATATGTATCTCAGAAAAATTCCTATGTGTTGCTTATATTAATGGAAAAATGATACACTCAATATCTTCAGTGCTATACTCTTGGACATTGAACAATTTTTCAGAATGCAGAAACCAGAAACCTTCTTTGAAATATTTATTTTTTTAAGCATTCCTCCTAGAAGTTTACTTTTTTTCTGATGAGGTTGGTAAATATACATTGAGCCTTCAAATTCTCTAAAATATGAAATGACTGTGGTGTCCTTTTAAATAGAAATTGTACAGTTTATTCAAAGTCAATGATTAGTGAACAAGACAATATCAGCACAGGCTTCAGTGGTGCAGTATCAGGCCTTATAACAGCAGTCATTCCTGCCTTTTCTGTGACTTTTAAATTAAAATTATTTTATTGGCATTTTTCTTAGAAAAGTTTCATTTTTGCACATTAAAAGTATTTAAAATGTTCAAAATATTAATCAATAAAATAATTAAGTATATCTCACAATGTCAATTTATTTAGACACTATTCAAAAGACATAAGATCAGAGTATTTATGCTCATTAAATATTTAAAGTAATCAAGACAAAAGTTTTTATTTAAAAGTTTATATATTATTCTTTATTCTTTCTACATATGCAAATTTATTTATCTGTTTATCTCTCTCTTTTACAGTCCAGCTTAAAAAATACAGAATGAGCTATGAATGAAAAGACAAGAAGAGATAAAGCAGCAGTGATAATTCTGAATCACAATCGATATCCCTGAAAAGTTTTCCTCGTATCTCCCTCCCTTATTTTTGAATGTTGGTTAAAATTTCTTGAGGTGTTCATAAAATGTGTCAGAACACATTTATAGGTCTGTATCCCTGAAAAAATACAAACATGTTCATTGTCTTGCTAATGGCCCTCTTTTGAGCCAAGGATATGCTCATGCAATAGTGATACATATCAGACAAAAATATTGCATATAAATAATAAACTAGTTGAATTAAGGATTGTACAAGAGCTCTGAGACTTTAAAGAAAATCCAATAAGCAATTTCCTCAAATAACAGGACTTTTAATTATTATACTCTTACATACCATTCACTTACTATGCAAGGAATGACCTGCCTTAGAGTTTTTTACACATAATAAAAGAAGGAGTTAAATCTGTGAGTATTGGTACTTAAACAACCTTAAAAACTTGTGCAAGACTGAAATGGCTATAAAAACTCCGTTCACCACTAATAAATCATTCCCTCTCTTTATCTTAATAGCACCAGCATAAAACCAAATGATAACAGTTCCTGTCCAGATTTACAGTGATGTAACTGAGGTCAGCACTTGGATCCATATGTTTTAGTGCACGCTTATTTCCGTGCATACTTAGAACTATCAACCACACAGAACTAAAGAGGCTGCAAACAAAAGAGAATAAAGTTCCACTTATAATTTGTCTATATGCCCAATACAGAGCACCTGTGAACAGAGACAGGTCTCTCTATAGCAGAGCTAGTCTGAAGTTTAGATTTAAAGGCATATACTAAGCAGGGAGAAAGGAAGTGCATAGTATAACACAAAATGACAAACTGACTTTCACTGCTGTCCTGCTCTGCCTCTGAACAGGCAAGTGACACTAAACTGCATAGCAAAAATGATGTGCAATTTCAAGAGGTCAAGTGGAACAGAAAGCAGAAGACCCCATAGCTCAGTTCTAGAAAGAAAATCAAAGTCATATTGAACTAGATCAAATCAATAAACACCACAAAACACAAAACTACTTTGAACATGCACAAATCAATTGCAGAAATGTTTAATTTAGTTTAATTTAGCTGGGGAAAAAAAAAAGCTATAATTTTTTGTTAGGAACACTGCATTTCATTTCACGTGGGATAATGCAAAGAGGACAGAGGAAGGGAAGGAGACCAAAACTATTTTTCTCTGTTCTCTCTGGTAGGGAACTGGGGATATGTGCTCTGTGCTGCCAACAGAGACAGTCAGATCACATGCCCTCTAAAAAGATATTTGTCTATAGCTTATTTCAAACTCTAGCATTTACTGTACACATGTATTGCCATGTATGGTAGGACATGTCAGCAGAACTTAAATTAAACCAAATTGACAAATCCCTTTTAAGTGTCCTAGTTTAACACAGGAGAATTATGCTGGTGTGCCACCAAGAAGGTCCTTCTTCTGAAAGTTTATTGTCCAACTACATTATTACAACTAACAAATGGAGATAAAGTTCACAATGTAAAATGTGACTGACTCTATTATTACACATCAGCTGTTAGATTCTAAGCTTGTTTTAATAGCATCTACTTTCTTTTCTTTTTGTATCCACAAAGAAAATAAGACAACAAAGCCTGGTGTGTTTAACAGAATCTGAAAACACTCCTGGAAGGAAAGGAAAGCACATGAAATTACAGCTTCTGGAGCACTTAATTTTGCATCCAAATCAAAGCTTCTCTGTGTCTTGTTCAAACTTTCAAAACTTTCTTCAAACATCTAGAAAAAAATTCCATAAACACACCTTTCACACATGGATAGAGAACAATCATCAACTGCTTTCAAAAACATTTTTGAAGAAAGATAATTTTCTTTTGCTCTCAAGTTTACACACAGAACCATGGTATTTTCAATAGGTCTTGTATGTCTACCATGACTAGGCCACAGGCTCAAAGTACTGCATAAAATGTTGCCAAATGGAATTTCCATATTTCTTTCCAAATGCATTTTGTTTATAACGAAAAATAATCAGAAGATCTCCTAGGCCTCCAATAGTCTCCTCACCAAGCTGGCATTTACCCTTCCACACCAGTTTCTCAAAAGTGGAAGGATTCCAGAAAGTCTCCAAGGACAAATTTTAGAAGGAGGTCCTAGTTAAAATATTGGCAGCACATAAATTTGTCTTTTTAATGGCAACCACTTTACATTGTTTAGCACATTCAGCAGGATTTAAAGATGAATTTATTATACTCACAAACTCTCAGAAAAAGCCTGTGAGGTGGAGGGGAAAAAAAATGGTGAGAGATGAAACATATAGTCACTGCCAACAGGTCTTGAGCAAGCACTGCATGAGCAGGTGAAAAAAAATCTAGTGACTGTGAAGAACTTGATGACAGCTCTGGGTCTGCTCCCCTTATTCAACTGTTTCCACTTATATTCACTTCTGCATCTGTTATATATTATGGGGTGTTTTTATTAGTAGCTTTGGATCCTCTAAAGCAGGTGAGCATGTGTTCAAAAGACCACTGGAAAAAAATAAGACATTAGAAAGAAAATATGAAACAGTTCAGAGGAAAGCAGAACAAAGTGTGTTCCTTGCAAATAAAGGCATCCTCATTTTAACTGCCTGTGCCATTTGAATGGAGACAAAAATTAGTAAAACATTTAAATTTAAATTAAATCAGGGAAAGTAGTTGATGCACATAAAATCTCTCGGTGAGGAATGCTCAAGAAGAAGAACAGCAAATATACACATAACCTGCAAGTATCTATCATAAAATGATATTCCTTAAACAATTTTCCCCATTTTCCCATCCTTCTCCTTTAAGCAATTATTTACAACTCACTTGATAATCTTTCCCATTTTCCTCTGTATTTATGCATTGACAGAGGTCCCAAGTCAGGAAAGCATTTGAGATCCAAGTGTATAGTGACAGAGAGAATAGTTCATTCCCCACAAAATATCTTCCCTGGATATGAACTCTTTGGCCAAGGGTGATGAATTTATGCATTTGATTTAAAACTGTTCTGGAGGGAAAAGGAAAAGGAAAAAATGTAACCCACAGACTTGTATCCAAAGTACTTCTTATCTCTTGAGTTATATGTGAATTGGGTTTTGTAGAGGTTATTTTTCTTAATTTCCTGTGGTTTTTTTTAATCTATATTACCTATATTTTAATACTTTAATTGCTGGTTATGAAAATATGTAGCTTTATATTTGGGACTTTATGCAAAGGTATTAAATAATAATGATTAATTTTTTTTTTACTGCTGAGAGTACATAATTCTGATCGGGACTGTGAAGCGCTCCACAGTCCAATAAATTGTAATTTCACATCTAAAAAATTTAAAGGTGCTGCAGAACCACTTAAGCACTTGACCAGCTCCTCCCTCAAAGGAATACAAACATCTGTATTATAGTGCAGTTACATGATTCATTGTTTTGTCTTCAGACAGTATAGCCAGTTTAAGATGTTCCCATGCATTTCCTCCCTGACTCCAGCCATTCCTCACTTCCTTTATGCTGCTCCCTGAAATAAGAAATAGAAAACTCTTAAAAAAAAAACAACTTTGGTGCTTAAGTGTTTTACCTACAGTTAAATGCCTCTCTCTATTTGTGATCACAGAAGAAAACACTCTCTAAGTTACAAGTACCTACTTATTTTTGGAAGGAAGATATTTTTCTCTTTAAACACATGTGGTGATGACATCTATAAAGCAATCCAGAGGAAATTGTCTGGGCCACAATGACAAAAAAATCCATGAAATTCTGGTCTAGTCATCAGGAAGCTCTCAAAGAGAGTTTACATTCCATTTGCTTTTCCCAAGACTGCTTACCTTGTAGCTGTACCTATAATGCAATAAGAAGTGAAAAGTTTTGTGAAGCAGGAAAAAAAAATAACAAACCACATTTCTTCTTAAGAAATTCTATAGACTAGTGGTTAAGAAAACTCCTGAAAGTAGAGACACATACTTGCATTACCACTGCTGAGAAAACTACTAGGTGTCCTAAACCATAACACAAAAGGCAAGTCACAGAATCAGAATCATTTAAGTTGCAAACAACCTCCAGGATCACCAAGTTTAACCTTTGACCAGTCACCACCTTGTCAACTAGATGGGAGCACTAAGTGTCACATCCAGCTCCTTCTTGAACACTCACCACCTCCCTGGTGGTGTTAAGTGTTCCAACGCTTAACAACGCTTTCCATGAAGGAATTCCTTCTGATGCCTCACGTTAACTCCGGTTATGCAGCTTGAGGGCATTTCCTCTTGTCCTGTCACTTTTTGCTAGGGAGAGGAGGCCAACCCCTACCAGGCTACACCCTCCTCTCAGAGTGTTGTAGACAGAGCAAAAAGGTCCCCCCCGAGCTTCCTTTTCTCCAGGCTAAACACCCCCAGCTCCCTCAGCCACTCCTTACAAGACCTCGCCTCCAGACCCTTCACCAGCTCCATTGCCCTTCTCTGGACACACTCCAGCCCCTCAGTGTCCCCTGTGCAGTGAGGGGCCCAGAACTGGACACGGTACGTGAGGTGCAGCCTCACCAGCCCTCCCCAGTACAGGGGGACAAGCTCTGCCTGCTCCTGCTGGCCACCCTATGCTGATCCAGGCCAGGATGCCATTGGCCTTCTCGGCCACCTGCACACAGCTGGCTCATGTTCAGATGCTGCCAACCAGCTCTTCCAGGTTCTTTTCCTCTGGGCAGCTTCCCAGCTAGTCTGCCCCAGCCCATAGTGCTGCATGGGGTGTTGTGACCCAAGGGTACGACCTGGCACTTGGCTTTGTTGGACTTCTGATAATTGGCCTTGGCCCATGACCCAGTCTGTTCAGATCCCTCTGTATAATCTGCTGGCTCTGCAGCAGATCAATATTCCCTCACACCTCAGTGTCACCCAACCCCCTCACCCAGACAGATACTAAACAGGACACGCCCTGGGGGGACACTGCTGGTGACTGTCTGAAAACTGGATGCAGCACCATTCACCACCACTCTGCTCCTGACCATCCAGCCAGCTCTTCACCCAGTGAACTGTGCATCTGTCCAATCTGTGGGATGCCAGCTTTTTCCCAGGAGGATGCTGTGGAAGACAGTACCAAAGGCTTTGCTGAAGACCAGGTAGATGTCCACAGCCTTTCCCTCATGTAATCCTGCCCCTAGTCTTGCTTGATTGGTGCACTAAGTGGGCTCCAAGGACATCATCAGACCAATCCCCAAGGAAATATGTGTAAATGAGCTGGAGGGTTTTGGATCATGACTGGGTGAAAAGCTTCTCAGTACTGGTTAGAACTGTACAAAAAGAGATGTTCAAATTGATGGAGCTCTAGATTATATGAATTTATATTTCAATATTTCTTTTGAATTCTAGTGGCTCTTGAGAGACAGCTTTGCGCTTAGGCATCCTTATTTAGGTTGATCATAATTTTGGTCAAATTTTACAGCCACAATGTAAAAATAAAGTACAAACAATCATAACATTATAATGTATACTATCAAATTAATTTTGTACTAACTGCATGCTAGCCTCACAAGTGGAACTAGATTTGTTTTTATTTTTTGTCACTTATTTGGAAAACTTACATATACCTCTGAAACATTAAATGGGTCAGATTTAATAAAAGCAAGTTTGCCAGCTGCTGGATGTGGGAGAGCTAAACCATTCAAACTACTGACAGGTATTCAGTTTATTTGGACAGATTGGGTCTAATCCAAATCAGAGCATGCAGACTATACACCATAGGGTCACATTGGCTGCAAAGGAGAAAAACCTGTCCAGAACACAAACTAGGATAGGGGCAGAAAGAATACAGGTTGAGGCGACAAGATAATGTATGAATGTCATCATGGTGATTCAGGCAAAAAAAGACAAGTGTATAGTCTGTTTAGATAAGATTTGTCAACTTTTGTCAGGTCACTCTAATACCTGAAAAAAATTGGTTTTTGGTTTTCTCCAGAACATATTTATTGAGGCAGACAAAAATAATGCGTCACAGTATTGTCATTAAAATAAATAAATAAATAAATAAATAAATAAATAAATAAATCCAAACACATAATTTTTTGTTGAGATTTTTAACAGGAGAAGTTTTATCATTTTCAAGGAAGTTACAAAACCAACTTTTGCTGACTGTCCTAATAGAATTTGCTTGCCCCTTTTGTGTAACCATAATTAATCACCTTCATTTTGATGTGCAAATCATTCCACACAGCTGCAAAAACAGCGGGAACACTTGTTGCTTTCAAGTTCCTGAAGGTGTTTTAAACAAGCATATCTTGAATAGAAGAGATTATCCCAAGACTTATTCGTTTCTTATCAGAAAGTAACCCATCTTGCTTAGTCAAAATATTCAAATAACAAGAATGGAAGCCTCTAAATGGTGCTGTTATGATTAAATCTAAATTCTGCTTCATAAAAAGACAAGTATTATATTCTTAACAGATGTAGTGTTGGAATGGTTTTATATTCTTGAGAGAATGTAGAGTATGATTTATCACCCTGACTCAAGTGAAATGATACTGAATGGAGTGCTGTCAGTGATGAACAACAATTGCAGCTGATTGAAATTTTCTAAAGAAAGCAAAAGATGGCATCATTTCACTATTTAACAGTTTGGAAAAGCAGGCTGGAGTGCTGAAACCTGCCAGAACTTCTATAACTTGTGGCCTTCTACTATATACTTTAAGCAAGGGTATTACACAGTGTAGATTATGGGACCTGAGGCTACACACTGTTATTTTCATCATCCCTAAGGAAGAATTTAAATATGTGTACAACTTTATGCAGACACAATTTTTCTAGATTATATAGCATTAGTATACAGAAGCACTCAAAGCTAGATGTTTTCAAATCCTTTCAGCTTGAAATTTAGATTTCCAACTTACTGGATCTGAATCTCTCTGGCACAAGAAAAAGCTAACCAAAGGATAATTTTCAGTGAAATATTTCAGTTGAGAAGTACATCAGTTTCAAAGTCTATGACTGGTGGACATAAGCTGTCAGGCTTTAAAATATTCATACTTATTCCAGTGAAATAACTTCTATAGAGACTTGAGGTCTTTACTTTTCATACCAGATCAGCAGCAAATAAAGAAGCAAACCTTGTTCACATTACTATGATGTCTCTCAAATGCTTTTAAACTTGACTACTTCTTAAATAAAGGAGAATAAGTAATTTCCCCATAACAAATATTGAAATTTATTCCCCCTCCTCTCCTTTTTTTTTTTTTTGACATTTTAACATTAATATTTGAGGAGGTTAAGTTCTAGTCAGCATTGCATTAACTGTTGCTCTAACAAGTGTTAATGCAGTTCCTGCCTTTCCTCTAAAGAGCTTTAAAAACACACTACTTTCAAAATTTAGGTAAAGACATAAATCTTAGCTCCAGGTGTTCCTGAATCACTCCATAATCTGAAATGAAACTAGTCTTGACCAACTCTGAATGAAGTTTGAATGCAGTATAGATTTGTACAAAGTTAAACTACCTGAAGAACGAGTACGTAAAACAAACCAAAACTTACTGACATATTTACTTTCTGGAAGGCATGTTAAATGAACTTTAATACCAGATTTAAAAATCCAGCTGTAAAATGGGTATGCAAACATGATTAATGAGTGTTGAACACCATCCAGATCACATACTTGTAAGAACTACAACAAGCAAGTAAAATTTCCACCCTTAAGTAACAATTCAATTTAAATTAGAATTGCAGTTACTCTTCCATTTTAAGCCAGTAGTTATTCTATAGTTGCCATATATCAGAAGAACTTGCTCAGTGAGAGGATAAAACAGTTTAGTACAACAAACTTAAGCAACAACCTTTTCAAATATCATTCCTGAGTGCAGAGTGCACAACTCCTTCACTGCCAAGCCTAACACAAATCCTTCTGAGTCTGTGCCCACTAATCATGTTTCTACTTTCAAGGAATTTCTGAACGTCTCCCCTATCCCCCAACCACCACTACCACTCACTAGAAAATCCTCCCTCATTATCTTGACTGATTGCTTCAATTAGTGAGCAACCCAGTCACTTACATTATGTTCTATGTTTCAATTCCAGGAAAGTAAACCTTCACTGATATACTTCAGGTATACTTAATTAGAAAGTAAATTAACTTAAATGCTCTACAGACACAATGTTGGTTAGACTGCCTGAATAACGCTGATGAACTTGCCAAGACCTTCTTTGATCACAGATTGCTTTCCCTGGTTGACAAGAAGCTCAACATGACCCAGACGTGCACTTGCAGCCCAGAAAGCCAAGCACACCCTGGGCTCCATCAAAAGCCCTGTGACCAGCAAGCTGAGGGAGGGGATTGTGCCCCTCTGCTCTGCTATGGTGACACTCCACCTAGAATGCTGCATCCAACTCTGGGATCCCAAAACAAGGACATGGACCTGTTGGAGCAAGTACAGTAGAGATTACAAGGCTGCTCAGTGGACTGGAGCACCTCTCCTATGGAGATGGGCTGACAGAGTTGGGGTTGGTCAGCCTGGAGAAGAGGAGGCCCCGAGGAGACCTTAGAGCAGACTTCCAGTACCTCAAGGGGGCCTGCAAGAGAGCTGGAGAGAGACTTTTAATGTCACTGTTAGGTCACACTTGACATATACACACACACACACACACATATATATATATATATATATATATATATATATACACACACACTTGAGCAGAATAATAACGGCGTCTGTTTTCTCTAGTGCGTTCTTTAGTTTATATATTTTTAACAAAGCGTGATCTTAAGTCACTGATTACATCATAATAGTTTATTATATTAATTGGTGCAAAGGAATTAGCATCAATATATTTGGTAAAAGTTTTGCAAAAATTTAATAAGGCACATATACACATTTATTTATGCACAGAGTCTAACTACAAAAATCTTTCATCTTTTTAAATCAGTTTCCATGCTAATGGCCTTGTCTTCTTCCTTGCTACAGATACACTCGGAATTTATCAATTGCTGTTTCTTCTACTAACTCAGTTTGCCTTACAAGCCAGCTGTCAAGCCCCTCCATACTTTTACAAGGGCATGTAGTAACAGGACAAGGTGGAACAGCTTCAAATTCAAAAAGGGCAGGTTTAGATTAGATGTTAGGAAGAAATTCTTCACTCTGAGACACTGGCACAAGTTTCCCAGAGAAGCTGCGGATGCCTCATCCCTGGAAGGTCAGGCTGGATGGGGCTTTTAGCATCCTGATCTAATGGAAAGTGCCCCTGTCCTTGGCAGGTTGGCTGGATCTAGATGACCTTTAAGGTCCCTCAGGATTTCTATCTACATGGTTGAGAAATTAAGGATTCTTGTTATATATACTCACTTTTCAAAAAAATATCCTGCCTTATGATATCACAAGAGAGATCCACTCCTTAAGCAATTGGCAATTTAAATTGTTCTCAAGAGTTTCTAGCTAGTGCTTGAAACAAAGAAGAAGGAATCCTCACAAAAAGGCTACAAGAGAAAACACAATATAAGAATGGAATATAAGAAATCCATAAAATTCAAATTTGAATAACAAAATGAACAACAGTGTAAAACGTCTTCAGGTTCAGCAATAGTTTTAACAACTAGGTATTTACTCTAAAGCTTTTAACAGTAGCACAATTTAAAAGAAGGAGAAAAAAATGAAGCAAAGATCATGTTTTCTGTGGGACTCCAACTTTTTATTTCCCAAGACAATTCTAAGATTGAGGTTACTATCAGTAGAATATAATATATATAATATATATATAATAATTATAAGGTGGCATCCATCATGCTCTATAAACAACTGTAATGGCCTTTCTTGTGTTTTTTTCAAGTAAATGAACTCAAGAGCAGGAGTTAAACTCTCTGTTGAGGTGACAATGATTTTCCACAGTTTTGTTAACAACAGCCCTTTACCTTACCCCTTTTGCCCTATTTGGAAATGCAATGTGAAGTCTTATTTCTTAGCTGTCAGCTTTCAGACAAACTTGAGCTTTGAAAAACTTCTAGAAGCATCTGAGTACCTAAAAAGGTGGGCAATCTAAAGGAAATAAACCCATCCTGTGACAAAACACTGAATTAGTAAATATGCACATTAAAGCAGAGGAAGAAGTCACATGGAACATAATTGATAAATAGTGGAATATTGACCATATTAGGAAAGGAAGGAAGTGTGTTCTGCTGGCTTGCTACAGTACATCGATATGGAAAGGAGATCAGAAGGCTTCTGCTTATCTCAGAATTATTAAGTACTTAATTGCTTTACAAGTGAAATTGGAATAGTTTTAGATAAAGGCACAATACATTCAGACGCAGAAAATTGTTATAATGTGAAGATAAATAGCAAGGCCTAATGAAGGAAAGTTAATCAGACTGCATAAATTAGGTTGGACAGATTATTTCTAGAAAATTACATTGTCACAAATGTGGCCTACCAATACATCAAAGAAGTGCTGAAGCTTTGTCTAAGCAAAAGCAGTTTGGACCAGGTGTCCCTCATTATTGGTTTCTAGCTTAGCTGAGGGTTAGACCTCAAGATCTCTGCTGACAGATGTTTGAGTAATTCTTTATTTGGTTGCTTTGCAAGAAAGGGCTTAAATGATTGCCTTTGCTGACAGGAATCTTAACATTAACTTGAATTTGCAGTGGTACCTGTTTCTCACAAGTCATCTGATGCAATTTTAGCTATGTAAGGAGCTTTGAATCTTCCTCAATTTCATCAGACGTTTCTGTGTGGCCCTAAGGTCTCAGGCAGACAAATTGTTAAAGCCTAGTACAAATTGTTAAAGCCTAGAAAGGGCCTCAGAAACCCAAAGAAAGAGGAAAAAAATCATGAAGTCTTTCATATTAAACAGACATCATGGTTTAGTGAGCTGAGTGGCCAGTTTAAGGTGTATATCTTTTTAATGGGACTCTAAATGTAAAATCATTACCTCCAAGTTAAAGTTGTTATTAAGTACCAAGTAATAAGTTATTTTACACTACTGACAGTATGAAATTCAATTCTCTTTGAAGGATACTGCACTCAGCTTAAAGTTGTGCTGCAATTATGTGATAGCTATGCTCGTTCCCTAGAATCCATCAATTTTTTCTGTGACTAATTTTCTTCAAGTCATATAAACATTAGGTATACAATAACCTTAAAGGACTCAAAAGGAGAAGCAGAAACCTTCTTCAACATCTTCATTTGAATGGGATTTTTAGGTGTGAAGTTCTTTTTAATATTATTCTTCCAATATTCTCCATTACAGATTACATTTCATATAGACCTTACATGCCAAAAAGAAACCAAGATTTGACCTACGAAAGGTAAAAAAGAAAGGGAAAAGGTAAAACTGTTTTGTTTGGATAAATCAGGAGGAACAAGTAAAGAAAGAGTAATATATGGATATAGAAGTCTAAAGTAATTTGAAAGAGGTTCTGATGATCATAGACATTCCTAAATTTGGATAATGTTCTTTCAGACATTTTTCTGAAATTTCTAGAACGACATTTTGTTAAGGGTCAGACAACAAAAAGTTGAAGAAAACTTAAAAGAGGCTGTTAGGACAATAATTTATACGTGTATTGCTCCTACTGTTATAAAGTAGAAATATCAAATCTGAACCTACTCATAAATGTTCTGGAAGGGGTGGTTATCTTGTGATATGATCATTTTGGCTGATAATATTCAGGCTGTTAACATCAGAATAGCTGAAAAAATACTTATTGAAAATACTGAGTGAAAAAATTTGCTGAAATAGTTCAATGCTGACAAACATTAAACAAGATATATAACAAGACAAATCTAACTTGGCAATGAGTTCTAAGTTGATCCTCCCTATGCAAAAGTGAGATACTGGATGTACAATATCTCACTGCACAGAGGCAAAACAGCCCCTTTGGAAAACATCAGAGACATTACATTTTGCTTTAAAGAGTCTAGGTTTGAAACAGAAAACAGAAGAATGTATTTGTATGATTTATACAGAATCTCAAGCTAACGTCTACCTATCCAAGTAACATTGGAAATACTCAGGTTCCTTTCCTACTGACCTGTTTCTGTTCTGCAAACATTGTTTTCATACTTGAAGTTTACTGCTTATGTATTTTGTCTCTACTGTCTCCCTCCAGTCAAGCAAATTGTACAAATGTAGTCACAATTTTACTAGTATGCTTATCTACAGCTTCCATGGAATATTTCCCAAATTTACCTTTTCTAGACCATGACCTCTCTCATGGTTCACATTCTGCAAGAGCCTGCACAATGTCCCCTGTGGTCATTTTTGAAAAATTATCCTAACTGATACAGAATCTCTACCAACAGAACAGAATGAGGTAACAAGAACAGCACTTTTGCCATGGTACTTGACTGAACCTGTTTATTCCCCCCTTTTTCCTAGATTCACTGGAACATAGAACCCAGCACAACAATAGCTGCCTCTTTCTGAAATCCAAGGCATAAAAGAAAGTATTACCAAGTACTCACAAATACTCACAGATTGACCTGAGACAGTAATAAACACAATTAACAATTTCTTCTGTACTGAAGGAGAGAAAAACTGCTTAAGGGCAGTGCTATTGAAAAAAAGATAATGCAAGGTCTTGGAGTAACAGCCATGTTAAAAGCCATACTACAATAATACAGCCAAAACGGTATTTCTGACATTTCTTAAAGCTCCTACTTTGGGAATTTTTTTTTTTTAAATTTCACATAATCACAAAATTAATGCTATTTATACTAGAGTATGGGCAGTGATGATCCTTTTATTTTTCAACAAAAAAAAATATATGAAGATAAAGCCAGAAAGGAGAATCAGCCTTAGTACTGGTAGCAGAAGCAATGAGCTCACTCTTCTCTCTTTTCCCTGATATGTAATCCACACATTAAATTGAAGAAGCAGTTTCTGAAACAGAAAAGCATAGCTTCAATTT